CTGATCACATTAGGGAAGAGTTGAAGTGAGATCAGGGTAGGGAAGAGAAGGTGTCATTCTTGAGATCAGGGTAGGGAAGGGAAGGTGTCATACTTGAGATCAGGGTAGGGAAGGAATCATTCTTGAGATCAGGTAGAAAATCATTTGAGATCAGGTAGGGAAGGTATCATTCTTGAGATCAGGTAGGGAAGGTATCATTCTTGAGATGAGGGAAGGGAAGGTGTCATTCCTTGAGATCAGGTAGGAAGGAATCATTCTTGAGATCAGGTAGGGAAGGTATCATTCTTGAGATCAGGTAGGGAAGGTATCATTCTTGAGATCGGTAGGGAAGGTAATTCTTGAGACTGAGGTAGGAAGGAATCATTCTTGAGATCAGGTAGGGAAGGTATCATCTTGAGATCAGGGTAGAAAGGTATCATTCTTGAGATCAGGTAGAAGTCACACTTGAGATCAGGTAGGAAGGAATCATTCTTGAGATCAGGTAGGGAAGGAATCATTCTTGAGATCAGGTAGGAAGGTATCATTCTGAGATCAGGGTGGTATCATTCTTGAGATCAGGTAGGAAAGGTATCATTCTTGAGATCAGGTAGGGAAGGCATCATTCTTGAGATCAGGGTAAGGTCATACTTGAGATCAGGGTAGGGAAGGAATCATTCTGAGATCAGGGTAGGGAAGGAATCATTCTGAGATCAGGGTAGGAAGGTATCATTCTTGAGATCAGGGTAGGAAAGGTATCATTCTTGAGATCAGGTAGGAAGGTGTCATACTTGAGATCAGGGTAGGGAAGGAATCATTCTTGAGATCAGGGTAGGGAAGGTATCATTCTTGAGATCAGGTAGGAAGGTATCATTCTTGAGATCAGGGTAGGGAAGGTATCATTCTTGAGATCAGGGTAGGGAAGGAATCATTCTTGAGATCAGGGTAGGGAAGGTATCATTCTTGAGATCAGGGTAGGAAAGGTATCATTCTTGAGATCAGGTAGAAGAGTATATTGAGATCAGGTGGAAGAATCACTTGGATCAGGTAGGGAAGGAATCATTCTTGAGATCAGGTAGGGAAGGTATCATTCTTGAGATCAGGTAGAGGAAAGGTATCATTCTTGAGATCAGGGTAGGAAAGGTATCATTCTAGATCAGGGTAGGGAAGGTATCATTCTTGAGATCAGGTGGAAGGTGTCATACTTTGGATCAGGGTAGGGAAGGAATCATTCTTGAGATCAGAAGGAATCATTCTTGGATCAGGGAAGGTATCATTCTTGAATGGAGAAGGTATCCTTGAGATGTGGGAGGGAAGGTATCATTCTTGAGATCAGGGAAGGTGTCATACTTGGAGAGATGTGGGGAAGAATCTTTGAGATCAGGGGTAGGGAAGAATCATTCTTGAGACAGAAGTAGGGAAGGTATCATTCTTGATCAGGTAGGAAGGTATCATTCTTGAGATCAGGTAGGAAGGTATCATTCTTGAGATCAGGTAGGGAAGGTATCATTCTTGAGATCAGGTAGAAGAAAAATGTCATACTCTAGAGATCATAGGAAGGAATCATTCTTGAGATCAGAAGGAACGTCTTGAGAGTAGGGAGAGTATCATTCTTGAGATCAGGTGTATCATTCTTGAGATCGTGTGGGAAGAGGTATCATTCAGGATCAGGTAGGAATATCATTCTTGAGATCAGGTAGGAAAGGTACAGTCTAGGAAGGATTATTCTTGAGATCAGGTAGAGGTATCATTCTTGAGACTGTAGGAAATACCAGGTAAGGAAGGAGTCATTCTTGAGATCAGGTAGGTGGGAAGGTATCATTCTTGAGATCAGGGTAGGAAGGTGTCATTCTCGAGATCAGGTAAGGAAGGTGCTGAGATCAGTGTAGGAAGGTGCATTCTTGAATGGGTAGGGAAGGTGTCTCTTAATTGGAAGGAAACTTGAGATCAGGTAGGGAATATGACTCTTAGATAGGGTGGGAATATCATTCTTGAGATCAGGGTAGGAGGTATCATTCTTGAGACTGAGGGTAGGGATGATCATTCTTGAGATCAGGTAGGAAAGGTGTCATTCTTGAGATCACGTGGGAAGGCACATATTCTTGAGATCAGGGTAGGGAAGGTATCATTCTCAGAGATCATCCTGACGGTAGGGAAGGTGTCATTCTTGAGATCAGGGTAGGTAGGGAACGTACCTTAGATGTGTAGGAAGGTGTCATTCTTGAGATCAGGGTAGAACTTGGAGATCAGTAGGGTGTCATTCTTGAGAACAGGGTAGGAAGGTGTCATTCTTGAGATCAGGGTAAGGTGTCATTCGAGATCAGTATAGGACAGTCTTGAGATCAGTGTAGGAAATCATTTTGGAGATCAGGTAGGGAAGGTGTCATTCTTGAGATCAGGGTAGGGAAGGTATCATTCTTGAGATCAGGGTAGGGAAGGGAAGGGTAATTCTCTTGAGATCAGGGTAGGGAAGGAAGGTATCATTCTTGAGATCAGGTAGGGAAGGTATCATTCTTTGAGATCAGGGTAGAGAAGGAAGTGTCATTCTTGAGATCAGGGTAGGGAAGGTGTCATTCTTGAGATCAGTGACAGAAGGTATCATTCTTGAGATCAGAAGGGAAGGTGTCATTCTTGGATCAGGGAAGGGAAGGTATCATTATTGAGCTCAGGGAAGGGTAGGTGCCATTCTTCAGATCAGGAATGGTGTCATTCTTGAGATCAGGGAAGGGAAGGTGTCATTCTTGAGATCAGGTAGGGAAGGTCATTCTTGAGATCAGGGTAGGGAAGGTGTCATTCTTGAGATCAGGGAAGGAAGGTATCATTCTTGAGATCAGGGAAGGAAAGTGCATTCTTGAGATCAGGTAGGGAAGGCATTCTTGAGATCAGGTAGGAAAGGTGTCATTCTTTAGATCAGGGAAGGGTAGGGAAGGATCATTCGGACATCAGGGTAGGGAAGGTGTCATTCTTCAGATGTGGGTAGGGAAGGTGTCATTCTTTAGATCAGGGTAGGTGTCATTCTTGATATCAGGGTAGGGAAGGTGTCATTCTTGATATCAGGGAAGGTGTCATTCTGAGATCAGGGTAGGAAGGAAGGTGTCATTCTTGAGATCAGGGTAGGAAAGGTGTCATCTAGATCAGGTAGGGAAGGTATCATTCTTGAGATCAGGTAGGGAAGGTATCATTCTTGAGATCAGGTGGTGGGAAGGTGCCTCCTTGTGAGATGTGGGTAGTAGGAAGGTGTCATTCTTGATATCGGGGTAGGAAGGTGTCATTCAGAGATCAGTAGGAAGGTATCATTCTTGAGATCAGGTAGGGAAGGTATCATTCTTTAGATCAGGGTAGGGAAGGTGTCATTCTTGAGATCAGGTAGGAGGGGAAGCATGATTATTGAGATCAGGTAGGGAAGGTGTCATTCTTGGAGATCAGGGTAGGGAAGGTGTCATTCTTGAGATGTGGGTAGGGAAGGTGTCATTCTTGTGATCAGGGTAGGGAAGGTATCATTCTTGATCAGGGTAGGGAAGGTGTCATTCTTTGACCAGTAGAAAGGTGACATTCTTGATATCAGGAAGGAAGGTGTCATTCTTGAGATCAGGTTAGGGAAGGGAAGGTATCATTCTTGAGATAAGGGTAGGGAAGGTGTCATTCTTGAGATCAAGGTAGGGAAGGTGTCATTCATGAGATCAGGGTAAGGAAGGTGTCATTCTTGATATCAGGGTAGGGAAGGTGTCTTTCTTGAGATCAGGGTATGGAAGGTATCATTCTTGAGATCAGGGTAGGGAAGGTATCATTCTTGAGATCAGGGTAGGGAAGGTGTTTTTCTTGAGATCAGGGTAAGGAAGGTGTCATTCTTGATATCAGGGTAGGGAAGGTGTCTTTCTTGAGATCAGGTATGAAGCATTCTTGAGATCAGGTAGGGAAGGTATCATTCTTGAGATCAGGGTAAGGGAAGGTGTATTCTTGAGACAGAGAGGTGTCATTCTTGAGATCAAGGTAGGGAAGGTATCATTCTTGAGATCAGGTAGGGAAGGCATCATTCTTGGAGAACAGGGTAGGGAAGGTGTCATTCTTGAGACAGGGTAGGAAAGGTGTCATTCTTTAGATCAGGGTAGGGTAGGGAAGAATCCAACATCAGGGTAGGGAAGGTGTCACTCAGATCAGTAGGAAGTGTATCCTTAGATCAGGGTAGGGAAGGTACTCATTCTTGAGATCAGGGTAGGAAGGTGTCATTCTTAGAAATCAGCGTAGGGAAGGTGTCATTCTTGGATCAGGGTAGGGAAGGTGTCATTCTGAGATCAGGGGAAGGTGTCATTCTTGAGATCAGGTAGGGAAGGTGTCTTTCTTGGAGATCAGGGTATGAAGGTAATTCTTGGAGATCAGGGTAGGGAAGGTATGATTCTTGAGATCAGGGTAGGGAAGGTGTCATTCTTGAGATCAGGTAAGGAAGGTGTCATTCTTGAGATCAGGGAAGGAAGGTGTCATTCTTGAGATCAAGGTAGGAAGGTATCATTCTTGGAGATCAGGGTAGGAAGGCATCATTCTTGGAAGAGTAGGAAGTGTCATTCTTGAGATCAGTAGGAAAGGTGTCATTCTTAGATCAGGGTAGGGAAGGTGTCATTCTTGAGATCAGGTAGGAAGGTACCATTCTTGAGATCAAGGTAGGAACGATCATTCTTGAGATCAGGTAGGGAAGGTGTCATTCTGAGATCAGGGTACGGAAGGTGTCATTCTTGAGATCAGGGTAGGGAAGGTACCATTCTTGAGATCAGGTAGGGAAGGCCCTGATCAGGTAGGGAAGTAATTCTTGGAGATCAGGTAGGAAGGTGTCATTTGATATCAGGGTAGGGAAGGTGTCATTCTTGAGATCAGGTAGGAAGGTGTCATTCTTGAGATCAGGTAGGGAAGGGAAGGTGTCATTCTTGAGATCAAAGGTTTGAGGTCAGAGGAAGGTGTCATTCTTTGAGATCAGGGTAGGGAAGGTATCATTCTGAGATCAGGGTAGGAAGGTATCATTCTTGAGATCAGGG